GGAACAAGTCGCCATACATGTTCCAACCCCCAACCTGGAGGGCCAGGAGACTGTTCGTCAGACCTCTAACCATTAACCGACCTGGTATGAGAGACTCTGTGAGTGTCGCGCGGACACCCCCCAGTATATCTCAATGGGTCTCCGAGGTACACAACCCGCCACACCACGGTAAGGTCCAGTCTCTTCGTGACGGCCTGTCACTGTTGTTCCGGAGTTTATGGATAGTTCCGTTGGTCTTTGGAGAACGGTACCGAAAAGGGTTCGGATACTTGAGAGGTATCGGGCTGACGTCCGGTGGTTTAGTTATATCTGGGCCTTCGTTGTCCATATTGGATTGAGATAGACTGAGAGCATCGTCAGCGAAGGGACACGGTTTCGACTCTTACGTCTCAATGAGCAATGTATGCATAATGTGAGTCGTAGTTCAGAAGGTCGACATCTGCCAGCGATTGACTTTTGGGTGCTCTATCACCTCACTGCATCTGATCTCGACCAGGAGTGGTCAACCAAGATGGTTACGATATTCCAAATTTTGAGCGACGTGTGTATTGAAACAAACGTTCGTACTTTAGTGGCCCTACCTAACAGTGATCGGAGGGTGTGTATAGCATCAGAGAGTACCGTTTCCCAATGGGAAGACAAGATCGTGAGGTTTCAGCGCCAAACTTTTTGTTTTCAGAGGGTACTGTTGAGGTGGTCAGCCTGACCGTTACAATGTGGATCATAAGCCGATATATGACTCATAGCATCACCTTTCTCTAGAAGAAAGCTACTCTGATCTGACGACATGAACAATGAATATGAACAATGGATATAGACTGGCATTCCGAACAAGTAAAATTTGTGTGAGACGGCCAGTGTTGAGATCGTGTACGTACTTTTCAGCTTTTCAGACTAAATGATATTACTGATAGTTCACTGAAAACATGCTACACCGTTTGCATACCAAGGGTAACGAGACTGAAATAGTCACATTGTCTATGTAGGCATATGTACTTTTCAGCTTTTCAGACTAAATGATATTACTGATAGTTCACTGAAAACATGCTACACCGTTTGCATACCAAGGGTATGCAACGAGACTGAAACAGGTCACCACACGCCGTAAGAGGTTTGTGGAATGCAGGGATGGGGACTCGATGATAGGCAAACAAGAGGTCTAATGTGCTTTGGACTTCGTAGTGCGAAATATCCTCAGGCAATGCAGATTGTTTGACTGTAGTCAAATACCATCCAACGTTTGTGATTTACATTCTTGGTAGCCAAAACCTGCGCTCTCCAGGGAGACACTGACGACTCGATGATGCCGTCTTTCAGTAACTGGGCTATTATTTGCACCTACTGTCGTTTTAACCGTTTTTTGCCGTGTCACTACTACTCTGACGAGTTTACAACAAAGGGAACACTTGATTCGAATTTCACCCCCATTAGAGATCATCAAGAGCGCATGAAGTTACATGCTCTGATCCAAGCAGGTTGACAAGTAACACCCTTTTGATGCATGATGTCTCTCTATAACTCGACGTCTAGATCCACGCTACATAGAAGCTTGACCCTTACGGGATATTCACGTCGAATCTGGGCACGCGCCAGTGCTTGTTGGATTTGCAGCACGCCTTGGTGAACACTTGAAGAACTGTGACGAATAATTTGTGGAGCAGCCACAGCACCTCCCCTTGTTCCATAGGTCTATCACTCTCGTCAATGTGTCCCCGTCGTCAACGACCACGTAACCTAAACCGTAAGAGACCCAATTAGGTCAGCGTATTGTCGAGGTAAAAATAGCCCCCATATCCGGAAGCCTCTGAAAACCATTCTAGTTGATCAGAGAGTCCAAAGCAAAACAGGCTAGTGGCAGCAAAATTGTATGAAAACAATAAGCACGTGACTGAAACTAGCGGCTATCAGTAACTGTCATACTATGGGCATATTATTATTCTCTCCGCGGTTCCCTCTTTTGGTATTGGACAGGGTATATATTGACATCCTGGTAACCAAGTACGGTCTTTGTCATGTTATAGCATCTTGCAGGGGCGAGATGGCTCAAGTGATTAGAACGCGAGTTTACTGACCGGAAGATCCATGGTTCGAACCCCATTTCTGCCTCTCGACTTCTCTCTAGGCTTGGGCAACCTTGCAGTATCCCAGCCCTCGTGCTCCCTTTGGGTGGCATGGCAGGTAGACACCGGAAGGGTGCTACAACTGAATGATTATCTCACTATAGCATCTTGTGTTGTGTGGCACATAGGTATGATACTACATATTAGGCTTTGTTGGGACATGTACACACGTCTGTCTGGATAATGTTGTACCTTCTATCCTTCAGCCGTGGACCGGATGTGCAACATCTGTTGGTCATGATTCACTGAAGAGAAAGCCTGTTCAATTTCATACGGCTGTGTTCTTTACAAAACTGTAGCAGTTTCAGCTATGCTTCGGTTGTCGGCCTTGGGTTCTGCCGTTAATATTCGCTTGAGCTGGTCGCGTAGTAAGTTCGCTTCTTTTTTTATTGCCAAAGCACTAACCACTGCTGTGAATTCCGAACCACCCAGCTATGAGGGACACATCGCTTTGACAACGCTCCAGCGAATATTTCTTGTTGTCGGTTCTGGCATAGGTTGTTTCCTTAACCCTAGGAGAGCTGGTAAAGTGGTTTTATGCTTATTAATGTTTTACTGTATTCCGATCAGATCTTCTTTCTACGTTTGGTGAAACTAGTGGCACCTTTGCTTTAAAAAGAATGTGGGAGAGAATGTCCCTTGATGCAGTTGGTCGACGGATTCTAACGTAGCTTCTATGGATACTTTCTAAATCCGTTTAGTGAACGTCCTCGAATACGTACAAATACAGTGGACCTTGATCGACTAAGAAAACTTCCTCCTAATTCTTTCGGAAACGCTTATGTCGCGTTCTTGGACCATTATGTGAGTTTGCCGCCACCTACTTCATCCTCTACCCAATTTCAGAAATACTCTCCAGATGAGAGGCATCTAGTACAGTTCGTGGATGATCCGGATCTGGCTTATGTGATGCAACGGTACCGTGAAGTACATGACTTGGTCCACACCCTGCTCGAGCAGCCCACAGATATGCTGGGCGAAGTGGTCGTCAAGTGGGTAGAAGGTATTCAGACTGGCTTACCCATGTGTTTGACCGGAGGATTCGCTGGTTCACTACGTCTTGCCCCTGTGTAAGTCAGTTGGAGGTCGTTTTGTAGGGTACCGGTCATGAAATTATGTTTTTCCTTATATTTGATTTCCAACCCGTGCAGGGAGTGACAAAGCTCGCACTTTAGTTTAGAGTTCCCTATGGCTGACATCGCTCTCCCGGTGGTATCCAAGTTCGCTTGTTCTGAAATAGGTGAGGACCGATGTCATGCCATGGAAATATTGGGGTGCATTTTTATCACAAGTCAGTTATTCAACCTTTTTGTGTTATCTTCGAAAACCGGAGATAACATTTTAATGTAAACACTGTAGTCCTATTTCTGATAGCTAGTGATGACATTCGTAGTTTGTCAAGGAGCCTTGGTATGTAAAAAAAACCGTCTTCGTTTTCTTTGAACCTTCAAAATGATTTCCTGTAGTTTATTAGGACTGGTTTTATACATTCAAGTTCATTAGTGTTTTCCGCTTTCATAACAACTCGAAGTCTTCTGGGTGTTTACTTTGCTTTTCAAGCAAGCTGGGACATATCCTTCAATTTATATTTTATACTTGTCTATTTATTTTCTTTATTTATTTTATACTTTTGTCTTGTAGCCAGACCCGAAACTACCTGAACACCCATCTGGACTATGCCCTGCGTGTGGGTTTTGAAGGCCGCTCACTGATGAATGTGTACTTTGAAGAACACTGGGAACAGCCTTTGGATGAATTCAGGTCTTCTCTAAATATTCCACCCCCGCCCGTTCGGCATTTCGGTCGAAAGCGTCAGAAGGCATCCACTGGTGTGATGGCCTAAATCCCACTTTGATATACCGGAATGGTCCTTCGTCATACTAGCTAGGAGTGGCCCACGTCACTCATAGCTTTTTCTCCTCCATAAAGCCGCCTGTCCTACTTTCGGAATAATTTATAGCATATTGTACAATCTTCCTTTCTTCCAATCCCGCGGAACAGAATTATGAGTAATCGAACCGTGAAAATCTGCGTAGGTCGTTGTTAAGGAAAACGTTCCTGCGCCACGGTGGAAGGTTAGACCCGTATTAGACCGACTTTCGAAAAACTGAGATACATCCAATTGAAGGAGCTTCACGTGCTGGTTCATGTGTAGGAAGGTGATGATTACTATTAGGTAAACTGAGGTAGTTTCATCAACGCCAAACTACTTACGTAAGGTTGTTGGAAACTTTGACGGTCTATTACCGGTTTCGCCTTCTTCGGGACTCATTTGATAGGCGTGGTCCGGATTGCTCATCAATCTTATGGAGTACTTTTGTGGAAGGTATTTGAGGGTCTACTTTTTTGTACCAAAAAGTAAATTTGATTCCGATTGGCCATTTGCGGCATTCCTCTCGAACAACAAGATGTTACTTGTTCCAGACATTTATGGACTTAATTGGACAGCGTCACTCCACATGAATATTTCCATGATATATGCCGATAAGAATTTTCAGATGTCTGTCTGTGATTTGAAGGTGCCCAACCGGTCCGCCGACCTGAGAATTGCGCATTTCTTTGGCCTTGTAACAATTCATCAAGACATCGATGGATTCTAGTGGGACTATCCTAAAAGGCATTGTTATCGATCCTCATGGTTGACTGAACAAGTGCCAATCAGTGGTATCCATCAATGGACAGGTAGTCGTTCCACCGAGAGTTTAACCACGTGGTGTATTTTATCCTTATTGAGCTCTTCGACCGGGTGGAGAGGATCGACCATGTGACCCTTTAGTGAGGGGCGAGATGGCCCAAGTGGTTAGAGCGCGAATTTACTGACCGGAAGGTCCGTGGTTCGAATCCGACCTCCGCCACTCGACCTCCCCTGTCTAGGCTTGGGCAACCTGGCAGTATCCCAGCCCTCGTGCTTCCTTCGGGTGGCATGGCAGCTAGGCACCGAAAGGGTGCTACAGCTGAACGCTTTCTTCTTCTTTCTTTATTGGTGACAGCATACTCGCTACGGAGACCGCTTAACTGCCATGTTTTGTAGGGTTTCCAACCATGTACAATACGAACTATATGAGCCTCGGAAGGGCACATGAATTCCACAGCACCGTTTGATGGTAACCTCCACGTTGCCGGTCTCCCGCGATCCCTTCGAGAACAACAGTCCGCTGTAGAAAACACTGTTTTCTCTGCTTGACGGTGATTGGGTATGCCTAGCGCATCAGCTTGTTCTATCGCTATGCGATCACCGCTCATACATTTGCCCAACGAACAAGCTCAACTTCCTCTCCCGAAATCTGCGGATGGACGCAGGAGGCCTGAAAATTTCAAAACTTCACCTTACGCCTTGGAGTAAGCAGACGTAATTTAACGTAATCCTTTCCTTCCCTCTATACACTTCTAAGTGTCTCTGTTGTCTGGCCTCTAAAAATCCTCCGAACTCCGATATCTGTTAGGTTCTGCACCTAGGACAAGTTTGTTGCCGCGCGGAATGTTGGCTCAGTTGATACAGATGGCCATTGGCACGCCGCAAAATTTTCACGCCAGGTCACGTGATATCACGATCCGTCTTCTGTCTTCATATCGCTAGGTTTTAGCTCTAAACTCACTTGGATTCACCGTCAGATCCCTACCGTCTGCAGCTGTTGCCCGCCCAACTGTCAACCTGTAGTAAATTGAGCTACTATGTCTTGTATCAGTAGTTTGTATATCCCGTAATTTGTTATCTGATGTCATGGCCTCTAACAAGAGGTGTTGCTACTCTCATTTGGATTTTTCATATTGGAAAGTTCTTATGCGAAAGATATCATACCTCTCTGTCTATTAGCGGATTCTGCCTGAATGCATCAAGCTGGGTGAACGCGTGTGCCTCCACATCGTTTATGAGCCGGTGTAGGAACCCGAACAGCTGCTAGCGCTCCAATCTACGTTGATTCATGGTATTCGATGGAGACAACCTATTTGTGGGGGGAGGATCAATAGTGTGAAAAATTGTTCCGCTTGTATCACACTATTTTTGTTGCATCACTAATGCTAGTATAAGTGCCTTTTCTCCGAATTCCAAGGTATCTCGGCCTACTCATGTACGAGTTGACAACTCACGAAGTGAGTTGATCTAGGATGGCCCAAAGTTCTGTAGCTGGTTCCACGGACGAGAACGCCCATATCAAGACTATTTAAGAAAATCACACGGACCCAAACGTGACGGCTGCATCTTTAGCAAACTTATTGTGTGTCCTCGGCCTCCGTATTGTAATCCTAACAAGTTTGACATCATACTCGACAAGGATAGATAATAATTGTGGTCAAGCGGATTTTCATACGTGATGTACAGTAGAATTTTATTTTTAAGGGTAGTGAAATTTGTTATCTTACTTGTTATCTTGTTATCTTATTTGTTATCTTTGTTACTTAGAGTCCTCCAAACCACCGCACAAGTTGAGTTCTGCGCTTACTTTCGAAGCGAGGTGGGTCATTTTTGACACAGACTCACCATTTCTTATAGTTACTTGGGAGTCCTAAAGTAGACAAAATACTTCTTTATCTGCCCCCTAGGCAGTTTGTTTTAACGACACCGCTGTCAACAAACTGATGCTGTTGCAGCTGCTGAAACCAGGATAGAATATTGTCAGCACTTATTCCTCAAAACACGGATCCCAAATGAAGATATAGTTGAGGCGGAAATTGTCCAGCTATACAAGCTACTGAGGTAGACAGAAAAAACCCTGAGATTAAACTGATCAACAGACTGTGATTCGAACTCATCCCCATGTATTCTGTGCCATATGCGAGCTGTTAATTGTAGTATTCTCCAAGCTGGGCTATGTGAAAGCCCACTCAGGAAGGCGCAGCAGTATTTTGCATGACCTCCTAACCCTGCTTCCATCCCACCTGCTGGTGACAGGCTCCGGCCGTCTGAGTAGGCGGTAGAATTTCATTCCCGGTTTAAATTACATAATCCAATAGAACTCACGAAGAATATGTATTCATACATCGAGTTATATCCGTTTACATGTACGCCGCGCGTTCTAATAAATTTCTTTATCCTGTAAGATGACTTGAGAACTCCAGCGCCCCAGTGATATGTTGGATCACCAGCTTATCAACAGCGGTAAAATAAACACTCGTTTTTCGGTGCGCTGTCTCAAAATCCAAGCCAGATTTCCACTAGTGCCTGTTACTTTGTGTCGGGATCTACCAACCTATTCCTCCTGTTGTTAAACGCTAGTTAGTAGATGATATTTGAAATCAAGGTACAAGTTCTAAACACCAGTGGAACGCCACTGTAATCAATAAACAAATCGCGTAAATGGTATTAAAAGTGAGGCTACCAAAATGTAGTGATTTCTCCGAACAAGGGAGCCGCTGTAAAGATAAATCTCCACGGGAGAATAAGTTCCTTCTTCAACCATTACCCCACTCCATTGTGAGTACCTTGTCTGCAGATCCCAGCGCCAGCTTTGTCCATCTGGTTTCACCCTAAGCTGCAACTTTTGCTCATCCGTCTTCAGTGGCAGCCCTAAAAACCTCGAAATCACTTTTCAGACCATCCTGGAAATTTCGGAACATTGCGAAGTCGTGCCTCAGAAAGGGAAATATCTGAACATGACTTTTGCAGTTCCAGGAGAAGCACTGGAGATTGCGAAGAAATTTAAATACCTCGTTGGTTTTTGTCAGCTGTGACAAGGGTGTTGTGAAGTTAGTGCATGAGTCATAAAAATACTGATCACGGCCGTCAGGTAGCATCACCTTTATCAGTAGGAGGGTATATTTTGAGGTCTCAAAGGCTTGTGTACCGAGGTACGCTACAAGCTTTGTTGTTGCTAGGCTGGGAAACATACCCTTTGCGGACAAAGATCTGAGACACTTATTTTCTTACCGCCGATCCCTCAGAAGCGCAACTGATATCCAATGATGTCGATAAATGAGTAACGAAGTCATTAGAAAACGAGTACCTGGTCCTGCAGCGTGTACTTCAGACCAGGTCCGGAAACCAACACCGAGATCCAAAGCTTTGGTTCGGCTAAGTGGAACCAATCAAGACTGGATGAAGACCGATCAAAAATAGCACTGTGATTACAGATTCTGCTGTAGCGTGGTTGCTGGAAGCGCAATATACACACATACGAAGGTCTAAACATGCTCACGCCGCCAAAACAGCCGGCATGAGCGCTTAACAAATTGACAACTCTTGAATATGGCGTCCACATTACGCCGACCAGATTCGCGGATATCAGGGCGAGCACCAACGCAAAGCTTTATGTAAGTCTAGGAAACAGGCAGCCGACAAGGTCCGCAGTCCGCCACTGTTCAACCTGTAGAACGGCTAATTTCGGCTTGGCCGCAGTGATGCTTTGTTCACTTGATTATTCTTGCTCTTCATTTCTTCCTCGTTCGTCACTTCACTTTTGGTTTTTATATCCGGTGAGCATATTGTGCTTCGTGTCAAGGCCGTTTTTGCGGAAGTAAGCTGACCTTATCTGTTCTATCCACTATTTGGCATGTTGTATGTTTCCATGGGAAATTCCATCCTTTTGCTGCAGCGAAAGATTAATACCCAGTCTACGAGTGACCCGAGGAGGACAGTGGTCGGTCGAGATGAAATAGTGGAGTGCAGATTGCAGAACTCATATTCTTATCAGCCTAGTAGTCTACAAATTGGCAGTGTGTGTGTCAAGTGAATCCTATGGCACTGTAAAGTTAATTCAGCATTGTATTCAAGGTCAGCTGCAAACCAGTGATCGTAGTTGCCAGATGATTACGAAATTCATTAATTTTGCTCAGGCACCGTCTGGTTTCCTTGTAAATTGAGGTTTCCGGTGATAACATTAGGATATTGGGCGTTTGCTACAAACATCACCGTAAGCTGGGAGAGCTAGACCACACATTAAAGCAGACAACCAGGATAATTAGAAGCATTACGCTGCTTCAAGTCCTCCTCAACGATTGGTTAAACCAACC